CGGGATTTTTGACACGGTCCGGGACGGCCAGCTGGACTGCGCGTTCGTGTACCCGTCCCCGCTGCACTCGAGGGAGCAGATTGCGGAGCTCGTGGGCCGCATGAAGAAAATTCTGGTCCAAGAGAGTAGTAATTGAATCGATTCGTCCGGTTTCGTTTTTCCCAAAACGTTTTATTATCTTATGATTAATGCATGTATGGTTTAGTATTAAAGTTAACGGGCGAGAAATCTCTCGATTCAAGGACTTTCATCTGTTTCGACGAGATTATTAAAGTGATTCGCATTTTTACGACAGGGAAGTTCGTTCATTAATCACACAGTGACACAAAATCATCTCTGTATGTAACAAATAAAGCGAATCTACCTAACAATCTTGATTTTCTTTCACTTGGATCCAATTTCGAGCGAATTTTGATCGTTACCAAACTTCTTCTGCTCCTCGAGTTGGGCGTTTCTGGCGGCAGACTTGCGGTCCAGCCACTGAAAAACGTCGGAAAACACAGTGTCGATATTTTCCGGGAGCTCACCATATGACAGGGAGTGCCACATCCCAGGGTACAGCTTGAAAGTCTTGTCCGATGAGCGAGCAGACTCGTAAAGAACTCTGCTCACAGACGGGTCAGTCACTTTATCGTCCTCTCCATGAAGGACAATGAAGGGCAAGGAGACCTGCACTAATCATTTGTCCCTTGAGTATCCATCTTAAAACGGTTATTGTTAACTCTACAAGATTACAGAGCTTCATGGTTAAATCTTGTATGTGAAATCCTTGAGAGAGAAAGAGAGAGAGAGAAAGCAAGGAAGCCAAACTGTAGTAAGTTCTAGAGGTGTAAATGAGCAGAGTCAAGCTCCAGTCTTTATCGAGTCGAGCTCGGCTCGTTACAAAACGAGCTCGAAAGTCAGCTCGTTTATCAATGTTGAAGACCCAAACTCGAGACTTAGCCAGCCAAACTATGAAAAATTATATAAATCTATATTTAAACCTCAACGAGCAGCTTGGCTCGACTCGGCTCGTTTGCCGAACACACAGAGGGCCTCGTTTTACTTACTAGCTAAACTAAAAGCATACCCCGTGTAGTCTTGTTTCCAAATCCATGCTGACTTTAAATAATTGGTGGGCTGTTTGCAGACGGGGCAAGCCTTTGTATGTGTATGGATTTGATCTAACCTGCTTCCAATTTTTAAGTCAAGATTATTTATTTAAAGAACAAAAACAGAAGGCAGATATTGAGTTGGAATAAGAATTTTGTGGCAAATACTACAATCCCGTTACGGAACCATTCGGGCAGGATTTTTAACCGTTAGATCATCATGTAACCATCGTGGATAATTGATCTAACGGTTACAAACCCTGACTGAATGATACCGTAACGGAACCATCCCGAATTTTTTGTTACCTCCTTGACAACTTGTGGGTCTCTAATTGCTTTGTTAATAATGTCTGGAGTTGGGGTAAGTCTCCAGGTGGGGATAACCCGAGACAAAGCAATCAATATTTTAATCACCAATGGGTTTGGTCTAATATCATCAGCAATCTGCAATTTTCGATTCATATCATTATTAAGCAATTAATAAAAAAGCATGTAAATATTGCACTATATTCTTTATGATATTGTTTATTTTCTAAGTGTAAGATAATTAACTGTTATATGAGTCGAAGTCATACTTTTTCAAACAAAAATATACACTTATTTCTAAAATGACATACTTTTATGGGGAAAATTTCAAAACTAGTCCCACAGATATAGGGGTTGATATTTTTGGTCCCAACGGAATTCAAAAAATATTAATAGTCCCGCAGCTTTTAAAAAATAATCAAAAGTAGGACTTTTTTCAATTTTCCGGCCCGGTATGCCACGTGGCACACACGTGGCGGGACTATTTAAGATTTTATGGATTTTTTTGGGACCAAAAATGTCACCTCCCAAAACCTGTGGGACTAGTTTTGATTTTTTTTCCTTGCCATTGTACTCGCCACGTCAGATGAATGTGGCCACGTGGCAATCCGGGTCAGAAAATTGAAAAAAATCCTACTTTTGATCATTTTTTAAAAGCTGCGGGACTATTAATATTTTCTGGATTCCGTTGGGACAAAAAATGTCACCCCCATATACCTGTGGGACTAATTTTGAATTTTTCCCTACTTTTATGTTGTTTTTTTTTTAAGTATAACATCCAATTTAAATGTTTACACATTTATTAAAAATATAAATGTCGGGTCGTAGTTATTTATTTATTTTTTTTCCAACGATAGATAAGAGCATTAAAAAAGAAACCGCACAAAGTTCGAATATTAATCCAACAATGGGAGCTACACTCAAAGAATGATCTAGATAAACCACAAAGCAAACACGAGAAAAAGTGGGGATGCAACCGTCGGAACTTTTCCTCGTTCAGACCAACACCAAATTCAACGAAAAAATTTGGATTTCTAATTAAATTATTTTGAAATTGATCAAATTGGAAAATTATAGATGGAATGTAAGCAAACATAATTATTATGCACTTAATTGTTATGGTTTAGTTTTAAAAATGAAAAAGTTATTTTTTTTTTTTCTGTAATTTGTAAAAATACAAACACATGGACATTGGAGAGGTACAAAATTACAAAAAGGTGCACAAAATTACAGAAAAAAATATACCTTACACATAGGTGCAACGAGGATCCCGCCGTCCCAATAATCGGGCTTCTTTAAATGAAGTCTTAAAACCATTGCCCCACCCATGGACTCGCCCAATAGAATCCTCATTTTCCCCCTATTTTCTCTCCTCTCTGAATAAATAATTAAATCACAAGTTTATAATAAAAATATATAGGGTAGAATTATAATAAATACCATATAAACAAATAGGGTACATATATATTTGGTGACAAATAAGTTAACTTATAGTTTATTAGGCTATGTTTGATAAAACTAGCTGATATGCTAGCTTACAGCTTATTAGTAATTTTCGAGTTTATAGCTTATGGCCTTGTTTGATAATCAGTGGTTAGCTGATAGCTGTTAGCTGATTGTATTAGCTGTTTTGACCAGCGGATTAAATTAGTTGTTTTGACAAGATGATTGTGTTAGCGGTTTGTAAAAAAAATGTTTGGTAAAATTAGTTGTTTTTAATTAGTTGTTAACATGTAAAATTACTAATAAGGACATAATCATAATTTATCATTTTTATTTGTGTTGAACTTATAATTATTTAATAAATAAAAATAATTAATATTTTAATTAATATTTATTAGATTGATTTAAAATATAGAAAAAATATAAATAATAATACAATGAAAATATTTCTTAATTGATTAAATAAGACTGCATCATATAAACAAAACTAATAACGAGTCATCACTATTTAAAAAATCTAAATATGACTCAATTAGAATATATATAATTACAATTGAAAAAAAAAACCAAATAACTAATAGTTATGGTAACAATTTCCAAAAGTTCTCATGGTCATCTAAGTAACTAAATATATCATTTATTTAGAATTTTCTTTCTACTTTTACTTAAATTTCTCTAATTGTTTGGGTGTTCCTAATTTTTTTTTCACTAGAATTTTCAAATTGTTTGGAGATTTATGCAACTTTGAAACTTTTTTGACTAGACTGCTAAAATTGTTTGAATGTTTCTACAAACTTTGTCATATTGTTTTAGCGGATTATGTGATGAACTAAGATATGTGATAGTGTATCTATGCCTATATATGTTTAAAATTTAGTTGGTAAAAAGTATTAGTTGGAATGAAAAGTATATAGTTAAATATATCACTTATATTATATCAAAAACTAAATAATATTTATATGGGTTTGAATAAAAAAATATCACGATTTTAATTACTTTTTTTTCAAAATTGTGAGACTAAATATTACATGGGTTTGAATAAAAAAATATCACGATTTTGATTATATTTTTTTCTTGAAATTGTGAGATGTATATAGAGTTGTTCATTTATTTGCTATTATAATAACGAGGAGTGGGGCAATTAAGACATTTGATGTTTTTATCTGGAACCGCTAAGCTAAAACGCTGCAAAAAGCAGCGTTTTTCATTTTGGCAGATTGGGCCAAAAACGCTGGTTACAACAGCTATCTACCAAACGATGTTTTTCGCTGATTGTGTATGGTCAAACAACTAAATAATTGAAAAGGCTATTTTAAAGCCAAAACACTAATAAACAAACGCAACTTATAGCTTATGACTTATAGCTGAAAAGCTAGCTTATATGATACAAGTGTTTAGTAAAATTAGCTGATAAATTAACTGAAATAAAAATTTCAACGAGCTTATTTGAAAAACTACCAAAAAAAGCTTATCAAATAAACTCGAGCGTTTTAAATAAGCTCGTCCTACCAAACAGAGTTTATTTAAATACATGGAGCTTATAAGCTAATCAAATAAGCTATAAGCTAGCTTATTGGTCTACCAAACATAGCCTTAATTAGCTTATTTGCTTCTTGTGTTTAAATAAGTTCCTTTTGGTAGGCCGAACTTCTTTACAAAGCTCGAGCTTATACATAAGTTTTGTTTGAGTAGCTTTTCACATAAGCCCGTTGAAGTTTTATTTCAGCTAGAATATCATCTAATTTTACTTATATCATATAAGTTAGCTTTTCAGCTATTATAGGTCATAAGCAACCTATAAACTATAAACTCATAAATTACTGATAAGCTATAAGCTAGCTTATTAGCTAGTTTTACCCAACATATAGTCATATACTAGGCTATGTTTGGTAAGCCAAATAAACTAGCTTATAGCTTATTTGGTTAGCTTATAAACTCTCTGTATTCAAATAAGTCTCGTTTGGTAGGACGAATTTAATTTTTAATTTTTTTTTAAAAAAAAATTGAGTTTATCTCATAAGCTACTTTAGGTAGCTTCTCAAATAAGCTAGTTAAATTTTTTTTTATTTCAGCTAGCTTATCAGCTAATTTTACCAAATACTTTCATCATTTAAGCTAGCTTTTCAGTTATAAGTCATAAGATATAACTCAAGAATTACATATAAGCTATAAGCTAGCTGTTTAACTAGTGTTACCAAACATAGCATATAAACTTTATAGTATTGCATCTTATTAAATAAAAAATAAAAATAACAACAAACGCAATTAGAAAAAAAAAAGCACAATTACAAATATATTCTTATTATCTCATCCGTAGGTCCACATTATATTTGTCACATGCATGTGATCCACTATTAAAGGAATAAGTTAAAGCCTAGATCTCCTTGTCCGGAACCTGAGAACTCACTAATATAATTTTGTATAACGTGTTAATTAATATTAAACTCGCTAATTTGTACCAAAAAAAAAATATATATTAAACTCGCTAATGTTCTAGCTTCATAATTGCACATTATTTCACGCATGAAGCAAGTTGGATAAAAGTCCTCATCGCGGGCCATTGTCATGATTTGATCTCTTCAAAATGACATGTTTGGTAATTGGTATTGGGACTAATCAGAACTAATCCAATCACTCATAGCCAATGGACTAAAATAGTAACACTTTAATCACGGTCCATTGTGAGCATTATTTTTCCTCTTCAAAAATGACATGTTTGGTATTAGGACTAATCAGAACTAATCCACCCGTAATAGACAATGGACTAAAATTATGTGCGACTCCATTTTTGTTTCATAATCCTGAATCTAAATAATTAATGAAATAATATTATTTCCAGAAAAAAAAAAAGAAATAGAATCATAATATTATTACCAGAAATATTAGTGAAATGTTCGGACAAATCATCGACAAGATCATCGAAATTGGTAACCAGTCCCTGCAGACCAGACGACTTTCCGTGGCCTTCACAGTCGATGCCATGGACTTCGTACCCGGCCTCAACGAGCCTGGTAGCACAACCTGCTCGAAATCGACATCGAAATCGAAATCACGTTCAAAATCAATCGATAAATGAATTTCAAAAAATAGTGGAACCTCTCATTGAGATGCTGCACTCCATGCCATAACCATGGCACAAGAAAATCAAAGCTTTTGGATCAACATCTGCAGGTGCCCATCGGCACGTGAAAAGCTTCACTCCACGTGAGTTCACAATGTGTTCCTTGATTAAATAAAATAAAATAATTAATTTCTAGCTTCCTAATTTTTTTTTATTTAATTTAATTTCCTAAAATAGAAATGAGGCTCGATCATACCTCTTTGTAATTTACGTTGTTCATCCGAGTCTCCTGCGAACAAAAAAATATAAAATTAAATAAAATGAAAACAAAGAAGGAGGAAAATGATTTAAATCTGAAAATTTGCACTTACCATGAACAACTAAAAGGAAGAAATTCAATGGTATAGAGAAAGAAATCAAAAGATAACGCGGAAATTTGACCTGAGAGAGGAAGAAAAGTATGAAGAGGGAAAATATATGTAATGTGTTAGATTTGAGATGGGATTATAATTTGACTAGGTTGTGTTAGAACCGACCGAAAATCAGTTATAAAAATTTGGGTTTTCGTTTGGATTTGACTGATTTTTTTATAGTTAAATATTCAATTTGAGTTGAATTAAAATGTGTAGAAAAATTCTACACTCTGAGTAAATACTTGTGGTATATTTATTTTTTCAAAGATGGTTTTCGATAAGTGAGAAATAAATGATTAGAGTTAGCTATAAATTGGAACGTAAAACGATAGTTGTGAATTCGAAGGGTAAAGAGTCCTTCCGACTTGGGACTTGTAAATTAGATTCAGTAATGCTCTCCTACCCACGGTGGACACATGTTAATATGCCCACCGCTTATGTGACATGCACGCATTGGTGATATATTTTTTTAACATATTAACATCACCACTGTGTCCATGTCACATAAGCGGTGGGGATATTTTTCCATGTGTCCACCGTGGGTAGGGGAACATTATTAAAATTAGATTAACTTTCTTTATAAGGAAATAGTTATTTTCACCCCACTCTGAACACGGTATAAGTTTTACACACCGCTAAAATAATTGTTAACTTATTCACCACATAAAGTACGAAATAAATTATACTATAAGCTACGCGACAGACAGACGACGAAAATAATTTTGAAAGTCCTAAATAATTATGCGATAGACTATGCGAATTAAAGACGAAGATAATTGATAAAGTGCGAAATAATTATGCGTTCATTAAGCGACAAACGTACGAACATAATTGATAAAGTGTGAAATATTATGCGATACACTGAATATACTTGATAATGTACGAAATAGTATGCGATCAAGTGTGCGACAGTTGGCGAAGATAATTGATAAAATGCGAAATAATTAGAAGATACTCTATGAGAAAAACATGCGAAGGTAATTGTAAAGTGTGAAATAGTTATGCGACAAAACAAGCAAACATAATTGATATAGTGCGAAACAAGTATCGATATAATATGCGAAAATAATTGATGCGAAAAGCTATGCGACATACATGGAAAGATATATGATAATGTGTAAAACAATTAGGCGATATACTATGCGAAAAATAGGCGAAGATAACTGATAAAGTGTAATACAAGTCTCGCACCCTGCCCGGCTGGAATTCGCCTTGAGCTTGCTTTCCTCGCCGGTTGAACGCGGAACCTGCACGAAACTCCCACACTGGAGGTGTTTTCCGGTGAAGAGCCTCCAACGCTCAAGTCAGATCTTGAGAGATGATATTAGTGTATAGAGAAATGTAAAGGTATGTAAGATCGTGCTGAAAATGAGGATTCCCGCCCCTATTTATAAGGGCGAGTTACCTGAGTTACACGCGCGATCCAGGTGCGTTCGGCCAATTGTCCTCTGCTCGTCCGTACGATCGCGCGCCTCCACTATCCTCCGTGTCAGAAAACGCGTCAGTCAGAGAATGTCAGAGTCGGTTACGGCTGTTGACCACTCATAATGCGCCGCGTGTCATCCTCCTTATGTGCTGGAGATTCCTTTGTGCTCCGGTGCTCTACCAGTTATGTACGTATGTGTCTCCTCGATCGTCCTCCCTCGGCCATATCCTCAGATGACCTGTATCTGTCGACCACCTCTGCTCTCCTTAACTGTCGTTATCTGCTCGATGTTCTAGCGACCGGTGTCTGATCCTACTCAACCATGCCAATCGATCTTATTCCCCCTAGATAGTCCAGCAAACCGATCGGTCTTCTTTGATTAGTCCTATAAACCGGTCCAGTATATAATATCCCATATCATCTAGTCCCCCCACTCTGGTCGAGTCTGAACGACTCGTTCTAAGAGTAAGTTTTGATCTGTGTCGAGGAGATCCTGTTGCTTCGTCTTCGACCATCTAGCCCATTTTCTCCTCTTATACTTTCGTTTCCTTATCTAACCGCCACTTTTCGCTTTTTGAATTTCAAACTTCGCCACCTGTCCGCTTTTTAGGACGCGTCTTTTCATTTGCTCAAGACTAATGATGACC